TACCTTGTGTATTCTAGAGGGCATAACTCTTCCAAAGCTTTTCTGTGATAAAGGGAGCGAAAATGAAATTATGATATGGCGAGTATGACTCAAAAAGATAAAATTTAATGAAAGATTGGTATTATTGTTACTGTAGATAAGATACCAATCATGTAACAATGCCTTATATAAGATAATATTCTTGGCTTATTTACATTGAGATCCCAAAGAGCCAACGTTAACATCTTAATTTTACAAACTAGTTAAATTATTGAATTTCAACCTTATGGCCAGAAAATGAAAACATGAAGTTAGGTAATGATTTACTCGAAATATAGGCCCTGCACATATTTGCATACGGTCCTCAGAGCTGAGTCATTTATTGATTTTGGGTGCAAAACAGAATAAGGATTCCAACGACAGTCCGAAGACACAATTGTACAGGCTATAGCCTGGTGGTGGCAACCCCTTTCTCCTTCAGTATTGCGTGCTTTAAAGTGCACATCGAGACCAAAACGACGGCCGTTGAGTTTAAGGGAACAAAAGATTCCATTGTCTCAGTGCACCAGCAAAATATACCACTAGTGTATAATTGTAGCCGTCCGGGCTGATCTCCTATCTAAAGCCAGGTTCCGGAGGAAAAAAATATTGATTGTTGTATTGTAATATTATAAGAACTGTTCTATAGATATAATGAGAAGTACCGTCAAGTCAAACATCAACAAAAATGGAACGATTATTGTAATAAACACGGAATTTGTGATAGTATTTAAAATAATTGTAATGTTGTACAACTGATTTTTCAAGGACAAGCTAAAACTTTAGGAACGGTTAATGAGAAAAAGATGGGAACAATTGTGGTTTTAAAATATTCAATTATGTATCACATTAATTGTTCCCATCTTTTTCGTCAAAACACAATTTAGGCTTTAAAACAACAAAAAAAATCAGTTGTACAATAAAAAATGGGTTCTTCCAGAGCCTGGCTTTAATATAATCAGTGGGCACGTCAATTTATAAACTGAATCCATCATGTTTTAACTAGGATATGAATTAGTGGTATACTTACGACGGATCCATTCTTATCCGACGATATATTCCCATTGTTTTGCTTTGCTTTCTGACTGTGCTTGAACCGAAAATTCTTACTGTACGCTATCTTCGGTGGTTCAAGCACTTCTTCTGTCTCTGATGTTGGAGCCGCTGACGATGACACCGGCCTATTTATTAGACGAACAAATTTAGTTTATGTGTATGGTAAACTAAGGCCAAATCACTTCCATCCCGTCCACATCACTTTGTACAAACATAATAGGCCTACTCTGGGAAGTCTAACAGTTGCCAATGCCTTTGCCCGTATTTCATCTCTAGTTTGTCCAATGTCAACAACCGACGAATTTATTCTTCCCGTTTGTCATTTTAACCTAAGGTTAGGGCGATCAATATCATTGATATGGGCATAACAGATTTGAGAATCCATAGTAAAAATCTAGTTCTTATACGTTTTCACCTCCAACGCCATGCAAACGCCTACCATTATCATTTTGGTTTGTTTCTTTTGATATATTGAAATATTTAAAGTCATTTAAAGGCTAAAATATTAATTCAATTCAAGTATTTGAAGCTGTATACACTTACTCTGGAAATAATATTCAATGATTGTATGTTCTTAAACAGGCTAAACAAATTAGGCCTATATCGTTTTCATTATAGGCCTATTAAAAATTGTTTATCTTTCATTTCTGTCATTTACTATTAGTATTTATAGTAGGTTTATCATCTGCATTTTGCAAATGTCATGTCCTATTTTCATATCCATAGTCCTACCTTGGTGAAAAATCGCTACTTTTAGGTCTATTTTTCGGCTGGTAATTTTTTGCGGACATCGTTGCTTTCCGAACTTTATTTGCCTCTTCTGGCGTTACTTCTATTGTGCCGTTTTTGTCGTAGAGGGGGTTAAGCTTCATAGAGCTTGGCGTTTCTTCGTTCGCAACACCGAATACGGTGACCATCTTAGCATCATCCGCTTCATAATCGTTCAGCTTATTTAGTTTAAGTCTCTGAAAGAGCAAAATAAAAGCGACCGTGAAAGACAAACTATTTGTGCTGTAAAAAAAATCAACTTACACGCTTTCTGTTATGCTGATGACTTACTTTTGTTAAATTAACTAATACCGGCCTCCAAAAGCTAATCGACTTTTAAATTTGTCATGGATTACGCTTAAATCCCAAAACCACCTGTCACTTTTAGGGAAAAAAATCACTTTGGATTCTCGACAATGTTAAGCTTAGTTAGTATCACCGTAGTGGCATATTGTGTTGGTGTTATTCTTTCAAATGGTTTAATATTCTCACAACATTGCGAACAACAAAGTGCCGAGCATTTTATTCTCTTCTGAGTATACGGATATAAGGTGTGCTCACGCAAAGCACATTAAAAATGTCCCAAGCTAGACGATCACGCGCAAGCATTAAAAATCACCACATCACATTATTTTGCGACCTAGCGCCTCCCCCACCTCCTCACACACTTAATCATCGAGGCCTCCTACTCCTGACACTCGTGCCCCATCATCCCCATTCCATTTCAGGACTTCTAGATACGCCACTGACTGATGTTTTAACGTCAAAGTTTCTGTTATGGTTTCTATTTGGTTAATGGATACCAGTTCATAATAATGAAATTATTACAAAAAAACATGGAGACCATTATACTACCCAGTAGGAATATAAATGCATCACTGGTTTAATAAATATAGTTTTAAAAAATCCTACTTCTTCTTAGCATGGAAATCTGCAATATGATGTATCAACTCCATCTCATTAGGCAGCTACAATGCCTGGCCATTTACCTAATATGGAGGCTAATAATTATAATAACATGCTTTTCAATACACATTATTGATCGTGTAAAATTATGTTGTGATACTGTAAGAAGTTCTCTTTATATAGATAAGGAGATGTACTGTTGTCAAGTCAAACATTAACTAAGATGGAACGATTGTACTAAACTGTGATAGTAATAAATAATTAATAATGAAGCATTCATTAACAATGAAATATTGAATCGTATTTACCTACTCAACAGCTTTCAATATGTTTAACTTAAATTGAACTAGGAAAATTATATAGTTAGTCAATTTGCAACAATTTGATTATTGACTAATTTTTCTAATATCTTTTTATGTTGCTATATTGTTTTTCTTATTTTTTTTATATAGATGTTCTCGAATTTATTGTTACAAAATATATTGAAATTGAAAAATATTGAATTTTAAGCAGGTGGTATGTATCTTAAACAAGTTCTACTCGTTTTTTTTTTTAAACTAATTAACAGACCTGTGTTTGTGTTAAAATAAGTGATTTCCCGTGTATATTGTGGATTCGCATGGCTTCAAAGCACCAAAGCATGGACCTATTAATAAGATCCATGATCAAAGCAACTACTTAAATTGGCCTTACAATACAGGGTTTTATTCATTGTTTATTGTTCTTTTCATTTAAACATTGATAATAGAAAAGTGGATTGCGATATACATTCTGTTCTGTAATTTGGACCTGATTTATATGTTTCTACTTTTATCACCAACCGTTTTGGTCAAATTTTAACATTTTTCTCCTATCCGTTTATACTGTACAGGTTATATAGACAGACCCTTATTCAATCTAACAATAGCATACAACAGTATTCAATATCAAGTAAATTCCATCTCGAAATTAAGCTAGGCCCTATCCCAGATATGTCGAAAAGTAGATAAAGAGGACAGTACGTGCTATATTCATTGTCTCCTGAATACGGATCAATTAAATCACGATAATCACTTTAAAAATGATATCCAATCTGTATTAATTTATTTTATACTACAATTTATATAATATGCGAGATTTAATTAATTAACATCTCCACTAATAATAGCAGTAGTTTTGAGTGTACGCTATTGGGATATCTTACAGTCCTGTCCATATGGTGGGTGCTATTCAAGCTTCCCTCATAAACAGTAATTATCGTACATTGTCCCTGGGAAGAAAAGTTGAGTCGTTGATCTCGTGTGCAACATGGTAAAAAGAACGACAAGCGTAGGGAATGAGTCGGACGAATGTATATCTTTCTTAGTTTACATGTCAATTAAGTTACTCGATTTACATTACTAAAGACCTACTTCTGTTGTTGTTTTTGTTTTGTTAACGTTGGTGCTTGCACAGTACTAGACCTATTACCCATAGGAAAAATAATAAAATTCGAGGAAAAGAAATTATCTTACAAAAAGGCTCTAGGCCTACACATTATGCTAGACGCATTAATCTTTAACATCCGTTACATTAAAATACACTCAAGCAAACATGGTTGAAATGAGATGCAAATTGTCAGGTTCGTAGATAACAAAGATCGTTATTTTCAGTTTACTACGCGATGCAGAAACTTGTTTTGTGCTGCTAGCATTCTATTGAAGGATACCTTAGGTATAAAAATAAACCGTCTGCATACCAAACGCTGTCATCCAATTGGTTTCCCATGATTGATTGGATCATCCAAATACCATATAGGGCTCAGTAATATTTTAATATTTTTTTGATTTAATTAAGATTTATCCAGTCGTTTTAGGTGTAGGCCTATACAATGCTGGTGTATTCGGGGTAGGCATAACTATTTGAATACATAAACAAAAACAAAAATATTTTTATTTACACTTTTTATAAGGAACCAGTAAACTTAACTAAGGCTCATTGTTCTTAATTTTGCCGATTTCTGAATTGTTCTTATTTTGTTCTTATTTAACAAAGTTTTCAAAGAATATTATTGTAGAGAAGTACATTAGGCCACCGACTATAATAATGATAATAATAATAATAATAATAATTATTATTATTATTATTATTATTATTATTATTATTATTATTATTATTATTATTATTATTGTTGTTATTATTATTAATTTTTATTATTATTTGTCTATTTCATAAACCGTTTTTGATTTGTACTTTTATTTTAATATATAATTAATTGAAGTTATTTACCCGGCCAGTAACAGGCTTGCCTCCTTAGTTTCAGCATTGTACCTTAGGTGGAATGGATTAAAGTTGTATCAACTGTTCTTATAAAATGTGTTCTTACAAAAAAGTATTATAAAAGGCACGTAACTCTTCATAACATATAGTTTAATACTAAAGGGAAAACGTGATTGAATGATAAATGAATCGTTGAAGTATTGGAACTGTAAAGGTCTTCTGCTAAGTTATATCGAATTTGACTTCATGGATCAAACAATTCTGTATGGACATAAATGTTATGAGGCTTGACTTCATAAACTTGAGTATTTGTAAAAACACGGAGGATTGAAAGTTGGCAAGTTTTTGCTGGCCTATTTTTATCCTCATTTTGGGCCTTGCGGGGACTTAGCAGGGGATGTAATTTCCAAAATGGTTACATGCATGTGAGAGTCCCGGCCACCTCCTAGCAATGCGGAGCATCGTTTTAATGTACATCCCCGGCTAAGTCCCCGCCACACCGCCGTAGTCCTGGGAAAATGCCTCGCTAATAAATGATTGGAGGATAAAACCTACTTGAAGGTTTAGCCTACAGTAGGTCTGAATCGGAGAAGCAACGTGAGAGCTAGGCCAAGGAGATGAGGTTCCTTGATGGAAGCACTACGCGTGCGTATCACTTAGCAGTTTCCATGGAAGTTTGGACTACAATTGACAAGTGCATAATCTGTCTCTTATACACATCTAGATGTGTATAAGAGATAGATTTTTCAGTGGGATTGAGCACTGTTTCACAAAAAATTGAGATATTTTTTTTATATATATATATATATATATATATATATGTGTGTATATATAGATATGTATATGTATAATAATATATATGTGTTTATATATAATATATATATATATATATATACATGTATATTATATATATAGGCCTACCAGAATTATAAGAAGAACAATAACAATAATATAAATAATGATGAAGATATCAATGTTTTAGATGATGATAATAGTGATGTTGTTGAACATCACCACCACCACCATCATGGTGTAAACGATTATGGTGATGAATGATGGTTTTGAAGATAAGCATTAGGTATATAGGCCTATTGTATTGGAATTACTGTGAAAACAAATACTGTAGGCCTATAGAGAGTTTGGGCATTCTGAAAGGTTGTTCTCCTGTATAGATTTATAAAATATTATTATATACTTCTAATGTATTGTTGACCAATGAACAAAACTACGTAAAATCATAGTCGAAAGTAGACATATTAACTATTCCCGTAGCACATAATCGATTACATCGTGTTTTGATGGCTTAGTTAAAGACATGCATTTTATCGTAACAAACACCGTGGTATCATTCTTTATAATTATAAAACATCAACACCAAACCCATCACATCCCCAGTAAAACTAAATTAATACAAGTACATAGGCCTTATGTGTTCCATGTACTCCAGTCCATGGGATACGACGTACTATGATTTGACACTAGTGTAACTTACCACACTTCCGTTGCTAGATCCTGTGGAAAGACCATCAGTACCACTCTGGGGCCGGAGCTGTCGTCCCCTTTTCTTCTGATAGAGCCTAGCCCCAGCCGTTTGGTCTTGTGAAACATCGCCAGACATTGGTTTTGTCTATAGTCGATTCACGCAATATCTGTATATTTAAAAAAAATGGAATTGCTAAATGACGATGAACCTTTACCATATAATATGAACAATAGTCAGTGGTTATTTCGGGGAATTGTAATTACCGGATGATAATGGTTGACTTTTTATCGTAGTAAATGGGTCGTCGACGATACGGTCTTCAATTTTTGACGATTTTCATCTGAATCAGCACCATCACGGTCATTTATAACAAAAATTACCGGCGAATTCTGTACATCCGATGTACTAATTTCTTGACAGCGTTTCTTTATAAAAAAAATATTCACGTTTTTTTTATTACTCATACACGATGATTAACACCACGCCCGCAGGTTGCTGTTTTCTATACCTGATTGGGTTTTATATGAGGAGAAGAGATGCTTTTCAGTAACAGGCAACCCTCATTGAATAGAATTGTATTGACCCATTCTACTGCGCAATCACAAAAGCCTTTTGAGATGCAAAACAGTGCGGTGAAACGAAACCACGATTGTACATTGGTTGTAGGAACTCTAGGTGGCGTTACAATTCATAACATCGCATACAGATCTCAAAAACCAAAGGATCCACTGATTATACGTAAATAGAATATGAGTATATATGGTGACTCCGAAAAATGACAGACGTGAGGCCATAGTTGATTCTACGTTTCGTTCTTTATTGGAACATTCGTTTCGTTCTTTATTGGAACATACAGATCTCCGTTTTCAACTTTGGTTATTGTTTGAAAAAATTTTTTTAAATGATAAACAAGTAAACAAATTAAACAGTAGATTAAAATTGATAGTGATTTTCTTCATAAAAAACAAAACAGTCAAACTGGTTAGGAAAGACATTCTTAATAATAAAAATTTGATCAAAAGGCCACAGCATGAGTGTTGGTACCAAAAAATACTGTTGTGATTAAATAATGATACAGTCCAAAAACAATCATCGTGATACTGTGAACCCATATTACAAAACAAAATTATCAATAGAAAAAAAAACAAGACTATTTTGGTAAGACAAACAACAATCATTAAAGAAGGCAAAAAATGCCTTATTTATGTCCAAGAACTTTACATTTAATTTAACAAACTATGCTGCTATACCTTATGTGGATTTTTTCTCGTGTTATAAATAAATTTCAAGTTCTATAAAACCTGTTTTTCTTTTGATGTAGCCCAACACTATAACTGATTTTGTTATTTTCTCTCCATAGAATTCAACCAATAAGGTGGATATTCAAATATTTAAAGATATAATAATTCAAGTAAGAGACTGATTTAGATAACAAAGAGAACTGTACAATGAGGTACCTATGAATATCATAACAAAAGTGTAAATAGCACAAAATTAATAGTAATATTGATAATTTAAATAATAATTTTGATGTGGCCAAACATGACTGATTTTGGTATTGGAAATTTCTTTTTTACTCTCCTAGAATCTTGCAAAAATAAGGTGGCTATTCAAATTTATATTTAAAAATATAGGAATTTATTTAACTCTTATATTCTTATAACTTT